GATACGGCTGATACTTGACGATCTGGCGGAGAAAGGTTGTGGAGCCTCCGTTGATATGCCGTTGTAAATGGCTTTATGGAAAGCAGGTGTGTAGTCGGGGAGGGTGCACATGGCTTTATGGAAAGCAGGTGTGTAGTCGGGGAGGGTGCACAGCTGATTGCAGCAGGTGAGTGGAGGTTGAGCCGGGAGCCAGGAGTGACAGCCACCACGCACACACAAACAACACAGACAGGGGGAAACAAACAAACACAAAGGAGACGGCTGGAGCAGTACAGCCACCACAGCGTTACCTAATGCAACTCCACACTACGTCTTAAGGTGCTGTGTACCGGAGGGGAGAGAGAGAGAGAGCAGCGAGTAGTGCTGCAGGGAGGTGGATGCACAACGCACCCAGGAACGAACGCTAGCTCCGGTCCTTTTTACTGTGGATTCGATGTCCTGACAGGCTGGTATTTGTGCAACATGCACAAACACAATACTGCACCATGATTACAAATGGTGAAATACAATGTAAAACTACCAAAAAATACCAGCTCACTAAAACACAACCGCTCAACTCAACGCAACTACTAACCTTTGTGATGTAATATGACGCGTTTGACGTATGACCTTTAACACATTTCAAAATTGCTCCTTTCCCTCTGAATTCCTGCCCTTATGTCTCGTAAAACATATCAAATCCTACATTCACTTTTTAAATTGTAATTTTCAAGCAAGTTTAAGCATAAATGTAGAAAAAAAAAAAACCTGCAAGATGCTCTTTAAGGGCCTACACAGTTGTTATGCTATACCACATTGCCCTTCACTGCATGAGCTGCACTAAACTACATTTTAGCATTTAAAATACCTAGCCATTCTTTTGCGGTTATTTTGGTGAAAGTAACTCAAAAGTAGTGTAACTCATTACATTTCAGAGACACTAATATTGTAATGTAACTTATTACTTTAAAAAGACAGTAATAAGTCATATGTAATATATTACATTTTGGAAGTAACTTGCCCAACACTGCTTATTTGTGAGCTGCAAACAGATGAAGCTATTGAGTTATGAAGGCATTTTAAATACCAATGTTATTATCATAGTATGACTTAATCCTTTCCAGAACACTACAATAAAATCAAACCCATTCGATTATTACTTACTACAGTCTGTTAATGACTGCAGTGTGTATGTGCGTGAGCGTGCGTGCGCATGTGTGTGTATGTGTGTGCGCGTGCAGTAGTGCTCCCCCTGCCGGTCGGTGTGCTAACGCACAGTGACGTCGACATCATCCTCATTAGCATCCCCCATCCTTCCCACAGAGCCGCTGGTCTGTTTACAGGTCACTCCGCTAAACGGAGAAGACATTTCTGGCTGTAGGTGAGTCCAAACCAATGACTGTATAATATAAAGGTCCGAACATCGGTACTTACTCTTTTCATTTGGGTAACAGAACATTTTAAACTGAATGAAAGGCAGCCTTGTAATCTACATCTGAAGCTAAAGCTAGCAGCAGCTAATCTGTATTGTTAACAGTTAGCAGCGCTCCGTATGATGATCAGTAATATTTATATATCAAATAGTCACTTCTGAATTTGAGCTCGTTTTTGTTGCCTACTGTGAGACACTCATCTTGCGTTTGTTGTTGAAGTGGTATCCCCATTGCTAGTTAGTCTACATAGCTAATGTGTAAGCATCCATTATCGGACACTGCTGACGGGTTGCTTTACTTTCCCCCATTTTCTGCCAAAATGTTGCTCACAGCCACATTGAGCCACCCCACAGTGGTATATTAGACTTTAAAATGTTTTCGGGATATTATATGGAGCTGGCCTAATCTATGTCCGCCGACAACGCGCATCTTTGTCCAGACAAGCTAACTAAGCACTAGCAGAGATTGAGCAGCTATAGCGCTCATTTTATGTTGTTGGTGGTTGCCGGTTCATTAATATAAGATAGTTTGGACACAATCACCCAATGTCAAAGACTGTTTGGCTTCAAGCGGGCCTTACAGTGGTTCTTTTGCGGGTTATCAGTAGTCAGCATCACCACATCATCTCACACCCTGCCCCTGGGTGCGGTGTCAGCTCCGCCCAGCTGCCATCATCATCCCCGGCAGGAAAACATGCCTGAGCCTCTCACACACAGTAAACATAGCATCGATCATAACAAGCAGCCTATAGCATCATTTTTATTTATATTGCAGTTGCGACCAAATTGAAGGGAATAATCATTATTGCATATATTTTCAAGTTAATAATCACTATTAAAATGGTGGTTTGTGTGTGTGCGTTTCCTTAATACATTTAAAAGTTTCAATTTGTAGGCCGTAACATCTCTGCAGCACCACAATTCTTAGTTGGAATAGTATTTGCCTTTTAAAAAAAAATAAGATTACTCTGGTCAAAATTGTGATTCCGACAAATTTAGATTAAACACCCAGCCACTGTTTACACCATGATTTAAGCATATTGAGTCCGGGAAACCCTGAATCTCCGGCACTTGGTTTTATTTATATGGACACAGAGTAGTAGATAATGGCATGCATCTCTTCCTGCTTTTGATATATTCACCATGCTATCTAATTATCTACCTTATGGAGCTCACAGTGTTCTTCTATCTCTTTTACAGTGGACAGTGGATCTGCAGCCCTGCATACTAAACAGGAGAACAAGCTTTTCATCATGAACTGCGATATAGATGGTACGCCGGCTTACATGCAACTTTGTAAACAACTATACATGTCCCATCATGTTTTAATAATGAGACAATGAGTTTTAAGTTTATGTGGAAAGCATGTTTCTATTTGCAGGAGACATGGAGAACCAGGTGGAGATGGAGGAGAAGACGAGGTTAATTAATCAAGTTTTGGAACTTCAGCACACTCTCGAAGGTAACACACACACAACTTGGATATAGTACTGTGCTAATGCACTTAACTGCACCTGTCCCTCCATCTCCTTTCCCCATTCACAAACACATGAATACGATTTTGATTGAGGATATATTTCACTTAAACTTAACCTCTTTTTAATGTGTATGGTATCCACAAATGTAGGCAGAATTTGTGGACAAATTAGATTAGTTTCAGGCCTAACTACACCAGAAGAGTCTGCTCATACATTCTTCTGTGTCTGATGTTTTTGTTACTCGCCATCAATGTTATATCTGCAAATTCATGTTATCCAAACAGCAGATATAAACAGAGAGAACACAGCTAGACATTTGTGGAAGAAAGGCGCTGGCAGTGCGCTGAACAGAGTTTCTTCCAAAAACCCGTCTTTTTTATTGTTTCGATGACAGCAATATCTTAACAACTGTGGTTGTATGACAGATACGCATCACCCCATTTGAATTTTGTTAACAAACTTTTGGTCTTTGTTATGACAGTTTCCGTCTGACAGACACGGCCAAAAACAAGCTTTGCCTTAAAGGTCTACACGGACATTTCTGGCACTTTTCTAGATATTGGAAATATTTTCATCTCGAAGTAGCTGCCTTTGATGTTCTCATTGTAATGAATGGAAAAAAAACACCCAGGCTGCCTTAACATGACAAGCGGTAAAACGGCTCTGGTGTGGCCTAACATTTCTAAGGAGAGAGCTGTGCTGCCCCACTAGTGGGAAGCACTCAACGTTCAAATTTCAACTTTAGCTTTGTTTACCGCTGACTTTTCGACTCGCATCCAATCAGTATGTAGCGGCGAAAAGGAGGTAACTGTAGAATTGAACATAGCTGGCTATTTACACCGCAAGGCTCTGCTCCAAACCTCGCAGTGAGCAAAGATCAAATAGTGTATCATGTGAATGCAGCCTAAGTGTAGCCTAATCTCATTTTGCAACTGTGCCCCGATACTGGATTTGTTAAATACTCAAATTTCAACGTATTAAAAGGAAGCATTTCCGAACTACTCGATACAGCCCTGGTTTTAGCTTCCATTTCTTCCTTTTTTTTGTTCCAGACCTTTCAGCGCGGGTGGACGCAGTCAAGGAGGAGAACCTGAAGTTAAAGTCTGAGAACCAGGTGCTGGGTCAGTACATAGAGAACCTCATGTCTGCCTCCAGCGTGTTCCAGACCACCGACACCAAGAGCAAACGGAAGTGAGGAAAAGAAAGGGACCCGCCATCCAGGCATGGAGAGGGATTTGCTTTTCTCAGCAGACCTGGGCGTTTCTTCGGTAATCGCATAATCAGAAATATGAACTTTCCCTTCCTGCTGACTAAACAAATCAATCTAATGTTAGTCTTGCCCAGGTCTGTTTTGCAGCAGCTTCCTCTCCACACTACAGACAAGGTAGACATCACCCTTTAATCAGCAACACTAAAACAGAACTATGTAAATAAAGTGGTTGAGGGTCATTTGTACCTTGAGTCTCTTCTTAACATTCTCTGTCGAAGTCGTATCTGTAAAATAATTCTTAGCTCTGCTTTATCTGCTTTGTTTTCCATAAATATTTCAAATACTGCTCCTCATTTCAATTATTTATTTTTGTACATTTTTCTTTATGTCAGCGCTAGTCCCGGATGCAAGCATGACTATTACTGTTAAAAAAAGCTGGCAAACTGGACAGTATTAGGGAGGATATAAGATGTAACTGGATCGCATGTAGGAGTTATTTAAAATGCATCTTATGATGTCATTAAATCAACAATCCCTAAATAACGAAGTGTACAAATAACCTTTTAACAATGTGGATAGTAGATAACAATGCAAATAAAAATCAGAGAAACTAAAAGGTGTAAACCGTTTTTAGTTGCAAGTGTATGCAATATTTTAATCACGATACATGATTTCCATTCTGTACTTACAAGTATTTGCGACCCTTTTCAGTTTATCATGTCATGTGGTGTAAATTGTAATGTAAGCGTGATAAAGGAAATGATCGGGTCATAAATGGTTTCATTTGTGTTCTTACTCTGTGGGAGGAGGGGACTAAATAGGCCAGATGACACAAGGAGGAGGAGACAGGCAGGAAGGGAGCAGTTGAGTGGCCTTGAGTGCTATTGATTCACTCAGCCTGGAATACACCGGCTGCTAGAGGAGGGGTATGACTGTAAAATGTGCTGATGTGCTCAGAGTACAGTAGAGGAGGGTGTGTTCTCAAACTCCTGCTAGCTCAGGGGATGAGGGTGGAAGAATTAATCTGAAGAATTGTTCCTCTTACAAAAAAAAAGTCTGATAATATCTGGAAACCAGTTATCCATGTTCAAATGTGGAAGTCTTAATACAGGATGCTATAAACATTGTATATGCTTGTAATTTTTTAAGGTTATTTTGATAACAGTTGTACAGTCTTTTATTTATTTGCTGGCATGTTATTTTTCCCACATAACCACCTTTGCCTTTTAGACATTTGTTTAATAAAAACCTAATATCACTCCTTTCTCTGAGTCTTTTTTCACCTGTACAGCTTTATATAGGACATATCCTGCTTATTCTTTTAGGTGCTTTTTTGAATTTTGTGCTGCTAATGTGACATGTTTAAAAAACCTTTTTTCTAGATTTTAGCCTTCGCAGACCATTTACATGCACAAACCTATTCAACTCACTACAGGAAAGGGAAAACCCCAAAAAGCATAATAGGGCCTCTTTAAAATAGTCTTCAAAAATCAAGAGAAAATAAATCTGAATTGCTCAAATAAAATATGCCCTTTTTCATCATTTGTATTCAATATTTTTATTTCCAAGAGCAATGTACAATTTGCAAACAAATGTAAACAGGGATATCTGCCATAATGTGGCAAGAGCATGAACTACAAAAGCTAGAGACAATAATATAAAACAAAAATAAATTAGCATCAATGTTTTCCCCAGGCAACAATCTGGGGTGTGAACTGATATTCTGCGAAAGCAATGCTGTGTACTGACAGATTGAGACGTGTTTTCACAGGTTTAATATATCCAGCTGTTTGATGTAGAAACAGTCTTATTGATAACTGATGGCCAAGGCATTCAGTGTTTTGTTTTTCTAATCAGGTAAAGCATTTCAAATAGGTCTAGGTTCAGAATAAGCACACCAGTGGCGTATCATATTCAAGAAAACTGCCTTAAATCGCTGGAAACCCTGCATTATTAAAACTGAATTCATACCAGCATAAAACATACAGATAGGACCAGCTGTGATAATCCTCCATTGATAAATGATAAAAGTAAATGATGCTCCTTACAAACTAGCTAAAATCTAAAACAGAACGTGGAGTTTAATTGAGGTTAACTTTTAAACCTAAACTGTGTCTCTTCCCCCCCCCCCGGACTGTCAAAACCCGAAGGAACTTTATTCTCGAATTCAAGGACATGAAAAATAACTAACTTGTGATATGCTGTGTAATGGAAGGAACAAGTGGAGTGGACAGCTTTTGTTTGGGGGGGGGGGATTTTTTTTTAGGCTAGCAATGGCTTAGAGAAGAGAAGATGGAAAAAAGGAAAGCTCAGGAAAGAAGAGGAACAACATCTAGAACGAGCAGAATCTCCAAAAGATTCTTCTCATAGTTCGATAAGCAGGCAAGAGGGGGGAGTCGAAACAAGACGGGGGAGGATGCAGGATGTGGTTTGGGAGACACTGCCCTGTGAGCGGGCAGCTGGAGGGGGGGGGGACTGCAGGCTACCAGGTGGTGTGGAGGAAACGCATGCTGCTCCACTCAGAGGAGGCGGAGCAGCAGCGGCAGCAAAGACGGCCTTTCAACCTCCTCCGCTTTGGGGGGGAGAAAGGAGATAGTGTAGACGTGGGGGGGTTCACCTCTTCAGTCTTTTCGTACCCTCCTCTTCCTCACGGCTTGTTTGTGGCTCTCCTCGGTGACGTGTCCTCCCTCCTTCTGAAGCAGAGCACAATTGGTATTCAATTAAAAGCGAGAAATTAAAGGTGAATTTTATGGATGAGATATAAGAACCCACTCTCGCTATTGCCACATGACCAATATGTTAATGAAAGTGCAGCGTTATCTGGACACGTCATCAGGGGATTTCAAACCTTTTTACATTATACTTCGCTGACGCATTCAATCCAGAGTGACTCAACAATAAGTGCTATCAGCCATGATAGTCTAGTTGCCAGCTCAGAGTTCTATTGTGAACCGTTTATGTTGAGTACCCCAACGTTTTATGTTAGAAATGTACAGTACGGGTCCCCAGCACTTGGACATTTACGAATGCTAATTTGCATATGTTGGGCAATTTGCACTATTAGCATGAGATGCATTGATTAGCAAATGCAAACAATAGCAACAAAAATTGCTTTGACGATTTGGGACATTTTAGAGTGATTTTGGGGGTTATGGAGGATGTAAAATCACTGACATTTTCAGGATAAAATAATTGGCTAACAGAAAGTGAATTGAATTTTGAGTTACATTTGAACGTTTTAGGGGACTCATAACTGCCATCACTCCAACATTTTCCAAATCGGCCAATCAATTTGTTTAGCTCGTGTCATATGCTAATTGATTAAACTTATGCTAATAGTACAAATTGCCCAACATATGCAAATTAGCATTCGGGAATGTCCAAGTGCTGGGGACCCGTACTGTACATTTCTAACATAAAACTTCGGGGTACTCAACATCTCAGGGTTCACACCTGTGGGTTTTTAGTTTTTAAATGAGCAAAGTACTACATTATTTCTTTCTGTGTTTTAATGACCACAGGTGTAGTTCAAAGAGGTGTAGCTGTCAGCTGTCCTGATATCAATGGGGAGATCGTTCCACCATTTAGGCGCCAGGATAAGGAACAGGCGTGTTTTAAATGAGGTAGAATGTAGAATGAAATGCATGTTCCTCCAATGAAAATGAAAACAAGAGTAGCCTGACTGTGCCCATTTCTCACTAGGACAAGGACACAGTGCCAGAGACAGAAATTAGTCTAAACAGAATACTACTGTACAGTGTGATGTCTAACATTGAGTGTGAGAACCTAAATAAATATATTAATGTGTGGCATTTATGGGTCCATGAAGGGATTTGCATCCAACATTGTAGCAACTTTATAAAACACTGTATTCAGGGTCTTGCAGTGATGATTTTAAGCCCAAGTTAGTGTAGCAAGGGTTTCCTTGACCAAAAGCACTATTTTGTATGCAGAATATCGCAGAAAAAAAGATCTGTGGTTAACACATGCTTATATATACTTACACATATTGTTCGGCTGGATCATTTCCACATATTAACAACACTGTGATTTCTTAAGCGTTAAAAACATTAGGCTTTAGACTAGGAACTACATCACGGTGGCATGGCTGCGCATCACCACTGCTTAGCAAAATGTGGCTAACCACAAACATGTTCAAAGACCAATGACTTCAGAAGAAGGAACTGGAAGTTTTGATATTCATATATTATTTTGAACTAATTTCAAGGTTTTAGGACTCATTCCGGCAATAGTCTATTGTAAGAGCCAATTAGGCACATTATTTGATGGTAATGAATTATGGTTTTGTGAGCCAGTTGAATATTCTTTAATTTAACTTAAATGAGCTGAGTAGCTATGAATTATTATTATACTGTTTTTGTAACGTGTTATCTTGTTTACGGACAGCTCTAGTTTATGTTTTGTTATTATTTATAGAAAGCAATCGTAGGGGCGTGCTCAGGTATAAATGACGCTGCCAGCATGACACAGCAGGAAGTCTAGAGAGGAAGTTGGAAAAAGTTTTTGACCGCACACATCCGTATGTTTGTTTGAACACCGTGCAAATGTTGCACGTCGGCAGTGGGCCGCCAGCTGATCCATTGAACCTCTCAATAAAGCACCTGAATGGAACAAGCAAGGCATCTGATTTCTTGAACATACGCGAGTCAATACTCTAACTCGCCTCCTAGACTAAGTGGCCATTGAACATTAATTTTCTTTTGGACAATTGGCCAATACACTGGTCTACCAGCCGTCTTGCTGGTGAAACTGAAATAGACAGACAGACAGAGAGGGCGGGACAGGGTGGGACAGGGGGTAACGGCGAGACGGCAGTGGTTGAAACAAAGCGGTATAAAACATGGTTTTGAATGGCGCTAATGGTCGGGGAGTGAAGATCAGTTGAGCGCTTCTGTGACTCCGCCCAGCCAGTTTTGTCATCTCCAGCAATTCCGTGACCGTGGAGAGCGCAGAGCGGAGGTTCGATTCTCAGTGGATTTGTAATCTATGAAGGGTTTAAAAAATGTTTAGCCCCCATGCCCCTCGCAGAAATGCAGGCAACAGTTTTTAGAGCCCTAAATCCAAAATGGCTGTCATCAACATAGGTTGAAAAAGAGCTTTTCAATGTTTTGGCCTACAATGTTGTTCAATAAATGGTTTATGGCACTTTCTGGGTCGAGCAATTCAAATTTGATATTGTTTTGATGATTTTACCTATTTTTGACCTTCAAATCCAAGATGGCCGCCAATTGTTCAGCTCCAAAAGGTCGATTTTTCAACGTTGTCGTAGAGCCTTCATATTGTGCTCTAATGAAAGCTATGTTCATGCTGAGTTGAGTTATAAACAGTAAAACAACAGAGGTCTTCTCAGAGGTAAAAAAGTCAACATTTGCAGCTGATGAGAAACAAACCGTTGCTGTCTATGCTCACAAATGTCTCATTATGGTCACTAATTTATGAATGAATTCAGGT